ATGTTTGTTGTCTCAAAATAAAATTGTTGCCGCCATTTTGAAATTTAATGTCGGGGGGGTGAATGCCTCTAGTCACTTGCTAAGCTATGCGCAGTAAGGCATGCGCAGTGACCAAGCCCTTACGCTTTTTTCAATGAAGTCGGACATCTGGTCCTCTTAATCTGTGTCAATGGTGTGACCCAGATATTTTGCAAGGCAATTACTAAATAAGCATGCAAAAAATTACCAAAACCACAGAATGCCAAAACGTAGAAAAAATTACTAAATTTCTGCTGTCAACCAAAGTGGTCTGAAAATCAATCATCTCACTGTTCTCAGCAAAACAAAATCAGTAAAACAATTTCCATCACGTGCACTGAAAATGTGTTTTTTTCCATGTTTTTCATTCTCACTTGTCAGTGGCGTAGCCAGCCCGATAATTTAGTCCCGCTATGCAAATTCAAAATTATTATCATTATTCATTTCACTTTAGAAATTGATTTAGACAGTCAATGAACACGAAAATATTTGCATAGCGAGACTAAGGCTATGTGCACACGAGCGTCGTTTTCCAGCGTTTTCAAAAACGTTTTGGTCCCTTGAATCGTTTTGACGCCCTGTTCACACGATTCAAAGGAAAATATCTCCAATATATAAAAATAAACTACAGCTTCTGTCGTAAATTGATAGTGTTTGCATCCGTTTTAGCGTGAAAACACAAATGAAAACGCTCGAAAACGTTACCGTGTGCACATAGTCTAAATCGTCGGGCTGGCTACGCTACTGTCACTTGTACTTTTTGGTTACAGTTGTGCAAAATGCAAATATGGCGTCGCGATGATCGGGCCCCGGGCACAGAATACTACACAGAAGTCCATCTTCATTGTTTTTAGCGTAAGCTCTATTCGTCATGATTCGTCACTCAGCAAGTACCGCAAACAGAAGCAGTCACACCCCCCCCCCTGGAAATACTAAAAATGGCGCACGTCCAGGGGGGTGACTGCTTCTGTTTACGGTACTTGCTGAGTGACGAATCATGACGAATAGAGCTTACGCTAAAAACAATGGAGATGGACTTCTGTGTAGTATTCTGTGCCCCGGGTCCCTAGCCCGCAATCAGCACAGGGTGATCAGCAGGATTCCGTCGATTCAGCTGAACAGCTTGGGCCAGCAGCTAGCAATTTGGATGTACACCTTTGCAGCATAAACCTGCAACTGTTCTCATTGAATTTTTGAAGAACAAGTTCAGGGGCGCAAATGCAATTTTTTCAGGGGTGTGTGCGCACAAAGGACCGATTTTTTCACGAGGGACCGACTTCGCGGCTCGTGCACACTACATAATTATTATTACGATCTTATAGAATGAATAGTAACGCGGTCATTTTTCAATTCTTATAATTTTAATATATACAACAACTACAACAACAGAATATCCTTAGCTGACTCTTTTCAAAAATAAACTAAATAGCAGTGGGAGATTGGTTCTGTTATTCGGGCTGGTAATCGGTGATGTCCGCGGACCGTACGCGGCAGGATTTAACAATATGTTTCAAACGGTTTAATTAGGCTTCCACTCTTCGGCAAATTTTCCCATTTCGTCGTAAGGATTGTGCTTCAAGGTCAATCTGTTCAGTCAAGTCTTTTTCGCAATTAGCCAATGTCATTCAATTCTGAGGCTAATAGGGATGAGAGTTTTAATTAATTTGAGCTTTGAGAAGCTTCGCTCGCTTGAAGCCGACGTTACAGGAGCTGTGAGAACAAGTTTCAATTAGCACCGCAATGTGAGTGGATGAGTTCTTTGAATTTCGAACAATAATTCAAAGCATCGTTAATGGTAGCAATGCCTTGTTTTGACGCCAAACAATGATTCCGAAAAACTTGTAATTCAACTTCAAGTGAAGCTTCGTCCGGTTTGGCATTGGGTGGAAACAAGTCAATCAGCGACAACACATCTCTGGAAATAATTTTACTTTTAGGAAACAGCGGGCTCTATGATCTTAAAGGCCACTTTCAAGTTATCTTCAAGCAATAGTATTTGGGCTTCAAGCACTTGCAGGAACTCTTTTCTGTAAAACGTTTGCAACACAAAATGAACAGCGTTTTCAGGCGTATCATCAATACTGCTAGCCCAAAATTTCTATATCTTGTTATTTTTATGTAAATAGTATATTAAGGTGGCTCCATGGAAAAGTGGAAAAGACACATTTCAGACCATTGCATTGATATTTTTATAGAAGAATGAAACCAGATGTCTTGTGTAGAACAGTGTTTTGAGAATCAGAAACTGTAACGGAAAAGTCCGTAACAAACTGTAGTTACTATAGCAACAATGACGTTTCAGAATGGCTGCTAATTTGCATTTGAACTAGTTTAATTCGAAAACAACGTCGGTACCCCCAATTTTTATTTTATCATAAGTTTTTTTCTGGTGTGAGCAATCATTAGGACAATTTTTAAAAAATTCTGTAGATCCAAAAAATTTTCTTCGATTTGAAAAATTTTGGATCTGCAGAATTTTTAAAAAATTGTCCTAATGATTGCTCATACTAGAAATTGGGGGTCACCGACGTTGTTTTCGAATTAAACTAGTTCAAATGCAAATTAGCAGCCATTTTGAAACTTCACTGTTGCCATAGTAACCACAGACCTGTCTCAAACTTCAAATCGTGAGGGAAGTCGTGCGACTACATTAGCATTAATTTGTGCTTCTATCGCCATTGTTATAAACAAATTGTCTCACTTATCAGATCGTGTGTACAATTCTTGTGGGCGGAAAGTACGAAATTTATTTCAGTTATTTAATTTGGTAAAGAACTCGACAAAAGAAGAGAGCGTTCAGAGTCCAGATCGTTTCAAACGGCAATTACCGTCTTCTGTTTCGCCCTCTCAGAGAAGCCCCGCAAATCGCAGTGTTTTACATGCAACTGCCTCTAAATCTTCATCACGAAATGCGCTGTTTTCGTCAGTGCAAGAGTCACCATCAACCGAAAGATAATTTTCTTGAGAAACATATAAACGTATCAAATCTGTTTGAAATTAATGAAACTCAAGTAAAGGTTACTATAGTTTACACCAGTGGTAAATGTTGCTATTCCAACACTTCACGACAAGCAATCCCCATTGGCATAACGAAAAAAAAGAGCCTGTCCTTGTTACATTTTTAATCACGAAAAAAGTGATCAGATCCATCTTTAAGCTTATCGAGACTCGAGAGCCTTTGTGATGATGATTATCCTTTGCTTCCTGTTTTTTTTCTATATAGTTTAACTTGTATATAGTTTAATGTGTATACTCTTTAATTTTATAAATAAATAAATAGTAACTAAATAGTTATTGTGTGACGCCTCTCATGAAAAGCAGCTCACGTTGATCGAGGCTAGCGCAGTGTGACCAGATTTTTTCAGCAGTAAGGATCTAACAAAATAAACAAACAAGTTGTAAGTAAAGGCCGATTTCCACTTCAACCTTCAACTTCTAGCTTTTTTCGAAGTCATTAGTTCCATTCTGTTGCTCAGGAAACAATTAAGAAATACGCTACGCTTCGGTACGATCCAATTAAGCATAACTCAAGATCAGCAAACTCAACGTTTTTAACATTTTAAAACATTTCTATTGTTAAAAACATTGAGTTTACTGATCTTGAATTATGCATAATTGATTTTCCTAGTTAGTTTTTTTCAATTAAAAGGGCTGACTGAATGCGCCTTAAAAAACATCATTCAAAAGGCTGAACTGTGCCTTTAATTGTGTTGAAACGAATTTAATTACTTCAAAGGTCATCAATATTTATGAAATAAAAAAACTTCGCCTTCCATGTCGTCCATATTAATATGCTTTCAAAGCCTCTTCAAAGCATGGCTATAGCGACTCGCAACTCGCAGCTAGCAACTCGCAACTCGCAGCTCGCAACTCGCAAAATAGCCGACCCCGATAATATTCCATGCACATGCATACTTCAATCCCACTGACTTGCCCCAGGTTGTGTATACAAAATAGTGCACTATGCTTTTTGGCAGGCAAGAGTACATTTAATTTATAGTTATAGTTGGCAGTTGCCGGACCTGTTGATGTCATATTTAAATTATACCAAACGGATCAACTACAATCGAGATGAAATTGATTCGCTTTTAACGCTTGAAAATAACGCTTTCAGGCGTGCAATTAGAATGTTGATTTTACTGCTAAGTGCTAAATGAGATAAGAAAAGAGAAAACAAGATAAGGCGAAGAACACGAACACAAAAATATCGCTTTCTAGTTTTTATGCGCTATAAATTGTTTGTAATAAGCAAATTCAGTATATATAGCGATATATAGGCTAAGGCTGCCAGAAATCAACAGACCATATAATGAATACAAAATACACCAAAACAACTGCATCGTTACCGGCTTATATAAACTGACTAATGAGATTCCCCGTATTTATAGCATCATGCATGCAAAACTTTCTGGTCGGTTAACAGCAATGCATTCTGGTCGGTTAAAAGCAGTGCATTCTGGTCGGAGAAACGGAAGTAAAATCTTACTTTCAGAGCCCAATACGAATTAGAACTGCTGACTTGCTCACTCGCTTCAGGCTCGCTCGCTGCGTCAGCAATAAGAGAATCGGTCCTAGTATAGATCCTTGAGGCATACCATACCTTATTGAAGCTGGGTTGGATTGGGATGATGCAATTTGTACCAGTTGGTAACAATAATTTAAATACAATTAAAAACCATCTTAAGGCTAGTGGACATGCAGGGCTTCTGTGAAAACTAAAAGCTTCCGACGCTCCATTTTTGGCGTCTACTGGAACAGTAGTCGCCATATGCTGTCGACGAGAAGTTTAGGTATATGTGTGTATGCAGTGCATGGACGGTTCACTTCTCCTGCGAACAGGCTCTTTGGTTAGGTTCAAGCCCGCGCATCTACGAAAGTTTCCGAACTGTTTACGATAAATTTATCATTCATCATAACTCAATGCCGTGAGATTTTCGACGTTTATATAAAGAACTCCGCGAGTATTTGTAGTAGAAATACGAAAATACCACCAAAAAATTCCACTTGAAATATACTATATACTCGAACAATGTTAAATAGCCATAAGATATAAACTAGCCATACTCGACTACAATGTAAACCGAGTCATACCATACCTATATACAATACACTTTGAACAATGTAAACATTGAAATATGTACGACGATGGGTCACTAAGCCATACGTTTCGCCGAATATAACTTCGGTCCCTCTCAACCTATCTTTTTCGTAATAGTCTTGTTCGAATCACAATCCAAGACACTATTTAGAGTGTTAATATTTTCAAGTTTGTATCTATAGATTTGCATCTTTTATTTCTGTATTTCAGAGTATCTAAATTTTACGCGAGAGCTTCTGGCACTCGGGCCTTGACTCTTGAGCTTGAACGTCGGAAATCAATTCTAAAGGTCAAATTACCCCCTTCATGTGGCGTGATTTGCACGTGCATCGGGCTACGGGTGCTCATTATTGGCCAATTTTAGCGTGTGGCACGCGCGTGCGAGTAACAACCCGATATTCTGAAAAATTTAACAAAAATTTTTCTAGTCCGCCGTGTTCAAACGAAACTTTCTACACGAAAGCGCTTGAATACAAGGAGTATTTCACTCCTATTGACTTACAGTATTCTGAAGAGTTTTGAAGGTATTCAACTTTTTCTCATATGAAATACAGAATGTCTGGCCAAGCGGTGAGCAAATATACGATTGTTTTAGTTTGTGTAATGTTTTGTCGGCATGTGTAATGTTTTCACCCCCCGTTTGACAGTCAAAGGTTATTTTATGAGGATTTCAACAGTGGTTTTCGTTTTAAAGGGCGGGTAAATACTTGCCGAGATATATTAATCTTCCCCACTACAAAGTCGGAAATGTCAATATAAACGCATCGACATTCTTTTTTTGATCCAGTAGACGCCATGTACGTTACAGCGTACCTATTTTTTCTAATTGTACCGGGTGGCCCAAAAAAAAGTACTCATCTTTGATTCAGTATAACTTAAAAAGTAATAGAGTTCTGACACTTAAACAATAGGCATTGTATTCAGTAATGATAACTTAAATTTTCGTATATACCATTTGCATTTTAATACAGTATTGACTGAGATAACTGCGTTTAAAGTTGAGTTAACGTTTCGGGAAATGTCGAAAATGAGCAAAAAACGGCCTATTAAAGTAATTTTGTCAACCGCAGTTTATCGTACGTATAAGTATTCGTTTCATAAATTAAAAGTGAAGTTTAAACGGGGTGATTGGCCTTGGCCCCCTCGTTCTCCTGACCTGACGGTGTGCGATTTTTTTCTTTGGGGCTACTTGAAGCATCAAATTTGGAATGTGCCACATGATGAACAACCACATAATTTGAGAGAGCTTCGTGAGGCAATTGTAACAGCATGCCGCAACCTGGATGCCCAGATGATCCGAAATTCATTCGACTGCATGCTCACACGGGCAAGAAAGTGCATTCTTGCTGCGGGGCATGCATTTCCTAATGAATAGCATTTTTATCTGGAAAACAAACGTGTACTTTTCGACTGCAGTGTACCTACGCACAGGTTATTGCGGTATTAACATTTAATAGGCCGTTTTTTGCTCATTTTCGACATTTCCCGAAACGTTAACTCAACTTTAAACGCAGTTATCTCAGTCAATACTGTATTAAAATGCAAATGGTATATACGAAAATTTAAGTTATACATTACTGAATACAATGCCTATTGTTTAAGTGTCAGAACTCTTTTACTTTTTAAGTTATACTGAATCAAAGATGAGTACTTTTTTTGGGCCACCCGGTATATAAACGTATTTGTAAAGAATAAAATATCTGAGTTCCTTAATTTTGACACGAGATTGCGAACTGGCTCAGTGCAAACAAATGCAAAGACTAGAGCTTAGAATCTATAGTAATTAAAAATTTGACTTGATATATGCAGTTATACACTTGTTTGGAAAGTTTAATTAATTGAAAGTTTTTTCGGATCGGAACGCTTTAACAAACTCGGATCGGATTAGATTCGGATCAGACAATTTTCGCTCGGATCGGATTTCAAAAAAATTACCAATTGTTGGATATAAACCTCCAATCTAATCCGATGCACACCTCGACTTTGATAATTTTAGATATCACAAAAACCTCATCCAATAACTGTTGTTTTTTTGTTTGCTTGTTTTTCAGGTTTTTTTGGTTATTTATATTATCCCAATCATGCAATTAACATTTTATCTTTCGATTATATAATTCACGAGGATTCACGCCATTTTGAAAATATATCAAGCGAAAACATAGTTTATCTGCAAGTTCTTTGCCAAGTCAAAGTTTGGAAGTTTGCATGTTCTTTGGGGCTACAATATATCGAATAAACAATGTATAGGACCTGAAAAACAGCAGGTACTCACAGATCTTCGGTCATATAATCAAAAAATCCATTAATTTAACGACGCGGTTTATAAATTATTCAAATTCTGAGTCCTGAGACGCATAGCAATTATGTTTATTCGAGAGCCATTTTTTATAAAAGAAACTATATAGACGTTATCTAGTTGGATCTATTATCTACTAAGCCGAATATAAATGCGAAATTATTTTCATCTTACAGTTGAAGA